AATCTAAATCTACTTACTGTGTTGGTGAAGATGTAGGAGAACGGGGGTTCAGTCATGTTAATCCCTCTCGCTTGTTGAAGTAAAGCATAGAGGATTGTGATATTATTTGAATGTATGACCTGAAATATTATTGCATCTCCCAACTAATATTGTACTACTAGCAGCTGCTTAGACGCTAGTTTTCATTCTCTTATGAATTATGCACTTTAATTGTGCTTAAAATCATCGCCTTAACACATTCCAGCGCTAGTCTGCCTACAGCTTCAACAGCTTTACTTTGCCGTATGCTACCTGCAGAGAAATAGAAACGCGTGTTGCCCCACTGTGCAAAAAAGTGGAGCTTACTTTACTGAAATTATTCCGATGCAGCCCATCAATACAGCAACATCCAACGAAAGCACAGAGCAATAATCACCGAAGAATTGGTAGTTCGGTACAGGTGTTGGTTTCGTGCTGAGCATGTTAGCTAGGAGTTTTAATATTAGAAGCGGAAAAACGCTTTTGCGCTGCGCGAGATAACTTATGGTTAGAGTTGCTCTGGTATTAGAAAAGTTTACTGTAAGCCTTGTTGATCCGCAACTTTATTCGCAATTGCTTTGCTGCTGCGCAGCAATACTAAGAGTTGTGTTGGCCAACTTTACGCAAAGTTGCATTATTGCTGTGCAACAATACTTAAAGTTGCATTGGTGCTGCATAACACTAATTAGTGTTGCACCTGTACTTGGAACTAAGGTGCTGCACGACACTAATTAGAGTTGCTCTGTTGCCGTACAACAACATTCAGAGCTGTTCTGGGTCAACTATTGTTACCAGTAAATGTTCACGTCAGGGGCGATTTGTGCTAAATGATGGTAACGAGTATTTCAAGGCCTAGCAAATGCTCGAAGCTCAGAGCAGCTGTGGTTGAAGCATTTAAAAATCTTGGAGTAGACGAAAAACCAAAAGATTATCCAAATTAGGCTTACCCTTAATTTGGCCAGTCGTTTCAAGCTGCTTAGGCAAATTTACTCACGATATTGGTTTGTTTCAATCGATTCCGTACGTATTTGAGGAATGGCTCATAATGGTCAGTGTTGTTTGGCAACCTCCTGATTTGTACAGACGCGCGATGACCCGCATAATGAGTTGAACGACGGTCATAAATAAGAGGAGCTAGCTCCTCCAGATCTGCAAACGATCATTTTAGTCTCTTTACGACCCATAAAAATCTTTCAGACCTCCTCCAGTTTGGGCAGGCGTTTAACAGAGCGGAAGTTACAAATGTTTTGTCAGAAACTTATAGTTTCCAGCTTACCTGATTCGTACTGATAGACGAGAAGGAAAGATGTCCATCGAAGATTTTCTAGGAACTCGCTAGTTGCTCTGGCTCCCAAACCACGTGCAGGGCCAACACTCGTAATAAAATCAGGGGCTGTAATTAATGAGTCCTGCAATATTCAACCTCATGCTCGATTTGAATCTCACCAAATTCTGCTCGATTGCCCATTTTTAGTGAAAGGCACGGTATCTGTAATTTGATTTCATTAGGAAAAGTTGGCCTTCATTTTTGGTTACGAATGATATAGCAATGATCTCTGGACAATGAACTGGCGCGAATGCGTAAGATATTGCTACAAAAATTCATGTCAAAAGAGTACCTTCCGCTAAGTTGATTTTACTTCGCCAAAATTGAATGCCGAACTTGCAGCTGTTGTTCAATAAACTTTTGCTAAATCGTAGCTAGATCTTATTTATGACATCGCTTGGAAAAATTAGGGGATCTTTTAAGTACTGTGTTAAGCAAGTAACCATTCGATACTTACCCGAAAATGGTGGCACATTGATTTTATCAATATTTCATCTAGTCGATCATCATATACAGGAATAAGAATAGCGACGACACTATGTTG